TGAGATGTCACCAAAACTCAACTACTCGTCAACAGGATTGATGCGGAAAGCACAAATCGACATTGAACCCAATTAACCTGGGACTGCAATCGAAACCACGGTGTTCCAACTTCTATGTATTATTGATACCACCTGTAGAGTAACAACGAAAATCAAAGCAAGAGTCCCGGCTGGTGCGGGGAAAGCACATGAGTCCTCGGAAAGGATTGCCGTCGGTTCGAAGCCCGACCGATGCTTGTCGTTTTGCTCATATCTCAAAATCCTTGAGCTGGTATTTGACCCTAATACTCCACATGAAAAAGAAGATTTTGCAGTATATGAAAGAAGAACATTCTTACAGGTACATAAACAGAGAAAGGTAGCAGTTCCGGTATGCCCTAAACGCCACGTTGTGTTTGTGGCACCATAAAGTGACTGCGAGCGAATCACCACCGAACTATCGATAAACCTGAGAAAACGAGTTGTTTATTGGCAGAAAGTGACTTTGCTGGTCTAGACTGCAACACGATTGCAACTTCTTAAAGAAGCTGTGGTGAAATTTCCAGTAGTTCTGACAAAACAACTAGTGCTGTTGAAATACAACAGAAGAAAAGAAGTCTAAGCCCTCTTCAATGTCAAAACCCTCGTATTTTATGACCTCAGTGATTAAACCGGAGACTCCTACCAGCTTAACGGAGGTGTTCGATGAGTGTGTGAATGGTGCACATTGGATTGTTTCATCTATTCTACTGATACTAAAACATTACTTCTCATGCGTTGGATGGCTGAAAAGGAGATCCCAAATGTCACATTGAACGTCCCTTGTATCCCTTCTACTGAATTGAGATAACAGTTAATTCTCTGAAGAAAAAAAAACTAGAACTCACTGTAAGTTTGTAGAATGGCAGTTTAAGTAAGATCGCTCATTATATATTGCTTAGACAGATGAACCGAGTTTATATTTAAAGTAATCGCCTAGATACTCTCTTAATGAGATCAGGACGAAACGAAAAGGTTTGGAAAGAACGAAACAGGCTGAGGATAACGAGAATCGGGAGCGGTGCATATGAGGGGCGCACACAGCGGCGTCTGGTCGACCAACGCCCGGCCGCGCGAGGGACGCTTCTAAAGTTTCGCAAGCACAGTGGCTGACTTGAAATTGACAGGTTAACGCGCGGAATTTAAGCATGCGGAGCTTGACACACTTCAATCATCGCGCCTGAGGAGGACGGATAACTGTTGGCTAGAAAGATGGCCCTTCTGGAACGAGGTTCGTTCCTGAGCGGGTATCCTTGACATCGATCACAGGGTGAACGATTGCTGGGAGGAATTCCTCACAAATTTATCACTCTCTACCCACTTATACATGAGAACGAAACTGATTAAACGATCTTGCCAAGTGATATACGATGCGCACCAGACTACTTTGTCTTTGCTGTGAGAAGAACCGTTCAGTACGGAACTGAAATTAGAAACCATTTTTGTTTCGTGGCTTGAAGTGCAAAAACTTTTGGTTAAATGTATGGAATCGGTGGTTATCAAGTGATTCTTGGTCGTACAAGCTTATGAAGCTTTTTTCAGCAGTTCATAGTCTGCTCGTTATTCATTGAAACGTAACGAAAAATATAGTTCCTTTACAACTGTCTATAACCTTGGGCGAACTGAGCTAAACACTTAATAGTTCCATAACGAAACGCATGGCATAGAGTACAAGCACTGGATATAGGATATATGCAATACGGATGTAATGGTACAAAAAACGATGTGCTTGAGCGATCGTTACTTTGGGTCTCTGCCACCAGCGCGGTTTTCTTGACTAGTCTATGGGTAGATCACAATTTTCTGAGCCGTAGAAATGATCATAGGTTCGGACTCGGACTTCTGAAGTACTTGTAGTTTGACGAGGTACGTACGAGGTAGGTACTAAATAAAGCTAAAGCTGAACAGTCAGCTTTTTGATATATTAAGAATTGTTGTAGCCATTCTCCACATTAGCCATGCCATTAGAGTAGGCAGTAAATAAAAAGGTTAAGATTGTGATAATACTATAGCAGTTTGACTCTTTCTCTTCACCATTGACTACAATCGCTTTTTGAATATTTTGATGGTTGGCAAAGGATAAAGTACAAGGCTCTCGGTGTTGACCATTCCCTGAGGAATGCGTCTCGCATTCGTCTTCATCAAACATCGTTAGAAGTGATTGAAGGGATATCTATACAATGACTCATGGTGGCAGGCCGTTGTATCGAGCCAGTGCTGTTATCCTCCCAAACAAGTTTGGTACCAATTTGCCGACTCTGGAGAGTTGGAAGGCTTGGTGAGTCTAGGCCGCTGGTTCGATCCTTTGTGAGTCGCAGGGCTCCTCTAACCACTGCGCTGCACACGTCAGTGTGATGGTTGGTATGATGGAAAATATTTACAAATAACACTTTTGAATTTGCATAGAGCTTAGCACAGACCAATGTACTGCATTGACTTTCACGTACTACTAAAACGATATCCAGCTACTCGTTAATTCGTCTTCTAAGCTTATAGGTCATTAAAATACCGACCATTAAAATAAAAGTATCTGATTCCTTTATTCTTCAAAAGTTAAACAGAAACAATGGCATATTCAGTGAAAAACGATTTTTATCATTGTGTTGAATGATGTGTTTCAAGTCGTCCAAACCAGCGAAAGGATGCGACAATGGTGTTACCTGCGCAATTGTGGCTGTGGCGTCGCAATGTGCGCAGCTCGCTGACACCCATATAAGTTGCACTGTCGCGCAGGTCCACATATCACTCACTCCCATGTCTGGTCTTGAAAAAGAAGCAAAGGACTCGGAAAGGAGGAGCAAGACGGCATCGCAAAGCGCTTATTGACAACATCCAGGGTGTCACAAAGCTGCCTCTTTGACGTCTGGCTCGCCGTAGTAGTAGGAAGCATATCTTTGAATTGATCCTTGCTTGAATTGATCTTTGAATTGAGGAGACTTGCGTAGTGCTCATCGTGTTTCTCGTAAACGTGAATTGTGGTGCTGTTACCTACTAGGAGCACTTCAAGAGAAAGATCCTTTGCCGCTATCGATGTCGTCTACGCACTCAAGCGCCAAGAATGCAGGCTGTACGGTTTCGCTAGATAAGACGAGTTAATCAACGCTATCGACAACTCGTATAACCCAACGGCCCTCTTTAGGGTCACAGACAGTTCCGAATACGTAATGAAAAACGAAGACGAATAAATAGCGTGAATCCTGAGGCTGTGAATAGAATAACTTCAATGATGTTGAGATATTTGCAAAACTTCGGACCACAGGTGTATGTGGTGGGAAACGAACTCGCTGTTGTCCTTTCAGGGCAGTAATGCGTTCAACACCACACCATGCGGGTTCTTCGTTTCGCCTGTGTTGTGAATAGTTGCTGCTACTTTTAGGGTACAACTAACATGCAAACTGCCTTTAAACGGCTATGTGCCGGTTAAATTAAGAACACTCTTCAAATTTTTCTTCGAAATGCAGTTCTTAGTAAACAGTTAGACGCACTAAAGGATTTATTTTACCAATCGACCGCCTTATCAAAAAATGTTTCTATGGCATTAAGATCCTATTTGCTGCCTATTATAATTTTTCACGCTAAGGTACTATGTGAAATACAACCATAACGATGCTGATATATTTGCAAAAGTCCGCAGATGTCTACGGTCGGGAATGAACGCGGTATTACCCTTCGCGGGTGCTAATTCGTTCACCACAACACCATGGGCGTCCTTCGCTTCGCTTGTCTCTCAGCTAATTCTCTATCGGTCAGTGCCATCAGCAATCATCCGTCAAGGGTATTGATCTAGGAAGCACAAATCGGTAATGAACCTAGTTACCCCATTGAACATACTTGTCCTCCTCGAATCCGACAGGCAGGTCGAATGTCCTTTACCAGGTTAGTCACGAATTTCGTATAGATCGTGCATGAGTTCGCGTCTTCGAGCAGCTCAACCAGATAAGCCTCAAGTGCCACCTGCAGAACCTTTACAGATGAAGACTGGAATCGAAGATCTGTCTCAAAATCTTGTGCAATCTCTTACATGAGACGTTAGAATGGCAACTTGCAAATCAGTAGCTTTTCGTCACCAATCATTTCTCCTCATTTCTTTTTGCTTTACTACTTTCTCTCTACCCCTTTTAGTTAATGATTACCACTTTTCTTTACCCTCCGAGAAACGTATGGTAGTAGGTTTCCAACGTTGGAGGGTTTAATGGATTGGCTTGTCCACCCGTGGTGTTCCTTGGTCGGACCCGAAAATCATGCGTGTGTCAATGGGCACCTATAGCCAGTGAATTACAAATAGCCTCAGCAGGTACGGTTAATTTAATCTACAATCCGATGCGACTCACCCAAAAAGGTGCCATATACGACTAGAATTTTGTCAGAAATTCGTATTAGGTCTATTTGTTTTGCCTAAATATCTAGTCCACATCGCAAAACATCTGCAATACAAGAAAAAAGCACTTTATTTACTACGACCAGAAGAACGAAAAGTGGAGGTATTCGACTGAAATTGTGTCCTTAAAAAATCCCGTTAGTTTAGTTTTATGCACTAAGTCAAGAAAATTGCTCAAGATGTCCTTTGTCACGGCCTTTGTCCCCTCCGACGCAGCATGCTTGGCGAGCTCTCCTGGAAGAATCAGCGGGACAGCGGTCTGTTTCGCAGGAAGAGATTGTCGACTGTTGACTGCACTCAGCAGGATGTGAGGTCTCGGCAGCAATACCTTCGAATACGAATGGCAGAAATGAGTTTATGATAGACATCGTTTTTGACGATATTACCCTAGTGTAAGAAGACACACATTTCATATTGAGCTAACTGATTAATCAGTTCCAAGGATTAACTCGACAATCTATATTCCACTTGCCCAATTCCTGCTGTAATAGTGTAGTAAAAGAAAATACACAATGAACGGCGATAATAAGCTGTAATAATCTCTTAAAGCATGGGTTTATTGTATAACAAAAATGAGAGTTACTTAATAAAAAGGAGCTGAAGATCAAGCTGTAGAAGCTTCGCATGGGAAGATCTCGTCCCAATCAGCGAACAAGTCGCGTTCTCTCTGTATCGAATCCTTTACATTCGTGTCTTTGACGACAGGAGGCATCCTGTTCACATCAAATTCGGCGGGGATGATTGGAGGCTTAATAAAGTTCACTCAATGACATGAAGTTTGAAAGAAATAACATGAAAGATGACATTATAAGAATCGATCAATTTTATAGAGATGCTTCAGCATTTTTAATGCAAAAATAGCAAAACTCCAGACCGCAGTTGTCTGTGGTGGGGAGCGAAAGCGCTATTATCTTTCGGGAGACTAACGCTTTCACCACCACACCATGTGGGTCCTTCGTTTCTCGTCCCTCTCAGCTAATTCTATCGATCAGTGCCATCAGCAATTACCAACAGGATTGATTTAGGAAGCTCAAATTGGCAATGAAACAAGTTAAGCTGAGGCTGTAGTTATAATCACAGTTTTAACTATTTGCGAAGGGCGCGTGGAGAGCAGCGGTTGGAGGCGCTACTGCGACACACACGTGGAATCGATCTCAGCGCCGATGGCCTACTAAACCTTCCAATGCCTCCTGGGGCGGCAAATTTGTACCAGACTTGTCTGAGAAGATAACAGCACTGGCTCGATACATCGATAGGCCACCGCGATTCATTGTAAAGGCCAGATATGCATTCATTCACCTCCAACGATACTTAATGAAGTCGAATGCACCGCGCATCCCTCAGAGATTGATCAACGCCGAAAGCTTTATCCTTTTTATGTTGCGAAATATAATTTCAGTGATGCTTGGCTTGGGTCCACCAGATCAATCCCGCTGATGAGTGATTGCTGACAGCACTGATCGATAGAACTAGCTGAGAGACAGGCGAAACGAAGGATCCGCATGGTGTGGTTGTGAACGCGTTTCCTCCGGTAAGGATAATAGCGCGTTCGTTCCCCATTGCAGACACCAGCGGTCCAGAGTTTTGCTAGTTTTGCATTAAAAATAGTAGGGAGTAAATAATAAGCTGAAACTGAAAATAGTAGTGAAAACTACTGAAAGTTCCCCAGTTCTTGTAAGTAAGAGTGTACTTCAAAGCAGTTTTCGTAGCATCATTACGATATGTAAATGGGAACTAATCCCTTGCTATTCAAACAATGGGAGACTTTACCACCATGTCATGCACCAAACCATGGTTCTTCGCAGCTCTGGATTCCAACAGCAAACTTCATGAAACGAGTTCATAATCACCAACCTGGATTGCTAGACATCTAACCTTTTCCCAATCAACGTTTTCGAACCATTTTTGGTCAGTGATATTGAGAGCACGTTGTGAAGGATCTCGATTCAGTAGTGATAACATGGCTGTTCTAAAATTAACCTTACTTCTGAATAAAATGTTGTTTTTATAAACAGGTTATTAAAAATTTTCAAGCAGAACATTATATATATATGTATATATATATATATATATATATATATATATATATATATATATATAAGAAATGTCAGCCATCGAGCGACAACAACAACGACGACGACTGCGACTTGTTCGTTTCCGTTCAGTTCGTAAGGACATATATATGTTGAGACAACCAACTGACTTTTATAACAATCCGTGTACGAAAAAGCTTGGAACGAATGCCATTTCGTGTTATTCTATGCCATAGCAAATGAATTAGGAGAATACATGGCGTATGAAAAATGGTGCGACAAGAAATTAATCGAGATGCAGGATCTAGGTAGACTAATGGAGCCGACCAGGGAAGATATCTCATCTATACGTGGCATGCTCAAAGAAAATCATGAGGAAAATGTAGCAGCTACTTCTTAATAAACAAAGTGAGTAGGAGACGCTTTTGCGCTTCTTGAAAGAACCCCGGACTTAATTGACAGAGCCGAACCTCCCGCAAATCTCTGTTCAATACTGGAATTTTTAAGTAGCCGAAATCTGCGCTGATATTTTCGAGCGTTAAGAATTTTACCTGGCGCCCACAGAAAGCTCGAACCAGGTGTTCTAAAATATAAACAGAACACAAAACATCTAGCCTATTTTAAGAATGGAATAAGCAGTAAATAAAAAAGTTAAACATTCGATTCCGACTGCATCTTCTATTTAACTAGGTTCAATACCGAATTATGTTCTTGAGACAATTCCTCTAGAAAAATGATTACTAATGGCACCGATAGAATAAAAAAGGTAGCTGAGAGAAACGGAAGTAAGGGACTCGGTTGGTGTGGTAAATAGCACCTGAGCATCGAGAAGGAGTAATCGCTGTTTCGAAGTCCCACTGAGGCTTCGAGTTTTACTTACATCTCAGCATCCATGTAGTTGTATTGCACATAACACATTGATACGGAAAAAAGTAAGCAGTGAATAAAAAGCTAGACGAAGTAAATAATATATAGGCTGAGCAGCTGCCGTGGAGCCGTTCAATACTCGCAAGATAACGATAATAATCGTTATTCAATCTTCTCCCACAAGTCAATCAAGCCCTCCATCGCCTGATGTCGGTATTATCCTTGTCCTGAATCAGTTCTCTCTGTGCAATCCATAATGCCGCAGAGTGCATGTGATGAAGACGAAACACCACATGCCTGCAAGCCAGTGTTCTGGGGAAAATCGAATACGGCAATAAGAAAGCTTTATGGAGCATTGATAGAAGGAGATGAATGGAATGCAAGAAGCGATGGAGTACGTACAATACGCGATGTCGAGTTAGTTATGAAAATAAAGGTTATATCTATATTATATGTCCTTATGAACTGCCTTTGGTTAGCTTACGCGAGGTTGCTATAGTTGTTCCTATTGTTACTGCTGTTGTTATTCGATGACTAACGTTTCGGCGACTTCGTCATCCGCCGTGCTGCTAGACCACTGGTGTGTTCAGTGCAAGGATCCAAGGATTAACCCTCGTGAATAACACATGGGTGGTCTAGCAGCACAGCTCTGAGAAGGGCGAAGTTGCCGAAAGATCAGCCATCGCACGACAACAACAATAACATTAAGAACATTTTTATCAACCTTGTGTCAGCTAAACAAGGGCAGTTTGTAGGAACGCATAGGCAGATATACCGATCATTTATGTCGAGGTTTATAGAAAATCGATCTTTTGAATTACAAGTTATGTGACTTTTTTCGAAGCGTTCGTTAGGGCAGAACGAAGTGACATTCTGCTGATTCAAGAAGCAACATAATTCAATAAGACTAACCGTACATTATCGGGTACAGATTGAGGAATGTCGATAGAAACGTTGCATATGGCATTACATATCTCATCGTTATCACCACAAAACGGTGGGGTTCCGGTGAATAGCTCGAATATCAGAATACCTAGCGACCACCTGCACTATACAAGGGAATAGTTACTGAACGAAGAAAAACTCTACATAGCAAAGTTTTTTTAAGAAGCATTTTTTTAAAGAAATCTTCTAAGAAAAATTCGTTCACCAGTCCACTTTTACTCCATAGCCTTTTTTCATAATGATCTCGGGAGCCATGTATTCCATTGTACCACAAATAGTATAGGTCCTAGACGAAATCCAAAAATAAACCTATGTGTTCTATTGTTACTTTTTTCCTGGTATAACTGAAATATTTAGTAACGAAATGAGCACCACCTACTTCCCTCTAAGACGTTTCGCAAGGCCAAAATCACTTAGTTTTACATGACCATCGATGGAGAGCAGTAGATTTTCAGGCTTAAGATCACGATAGGCCTTAAAGTCTTTTTTTAGCTTCCACGTAAATAAATCGTGAATAAGACGGGAACAACAAACAGCAGTTAAGAAACTTTTCCAGTCGAAGATTTTTAGTTATTACGGTAATGATAGCAATATACGAAGTGAGGCGCACCGAGTGTCGAAAAAAAAGGCAGAAACTAAAAATAGGGCAGACTATAAAGCTAAAAGCTCTAAAGCTCTTGGCGATGATCAGTCCATGAGGGATGCGCATACATTCGAATTCATTAAGCATCGTTTGGAGGTGATTGAATGCATATCTGGCCTTTACAATAACTTTATATCCTTCCAGACAAGTCTGGTACTAATATGACGACTCCGGAGCGATAGAGGGCCCGTTGGGTTATGGGCACGGGGATCGATTCCACGCGCGTGTTGCACAGCGCCTCCCACCACTGCGCCGCACGCACCCTTGTGTAGTGGCAGACTATAATGAGTGAAATAAGCAAGAAGAAAAAATGAAGGACGAAACTCCAAACGTACAATCCTCTAGACAGCTTATTAATAAACTTTACACACAACGCTAAAAAATACGGATTTACTTGAGGAAGGAAAACGAGCATGAAAAATAAGCCTAACTAACGTGCAATGAAATAATAACACTAATTTAGAAAACAGATTGGAGCTTATCAATCTTTAAGGATTAGCCATGCATTCGGCTACATTCGTAGCATTGTAGAGGAGACTAAAGGCATACCATGCAGGTCCTTCCTTTCGCCTTTTCCCGGCTAGTTTTCTATCTACCAGAGCCAACAGCAATCAAATATCAACGGGATTGATCTGGGTAGCATAATTTGGCATTGTACCGTGACGCTATCGTCAAAATCACAAAGTGAATTTTTTATTTAATGCCTACTACAAATGTTCACGCCAAGGTATTACGTGAATTACAATCACAATGATGCTGAGATATTTTCAAAACTACACAAAAGCCCCAGCTTAACTAGGTTCCATACCGATTTTGCTCCCCAGATCAATCCTGTTGACTATTGATTGCTGATGGCACTGGTAGATAGAAAACTAGCTGAGAGCAAGGAAAAACGAAGGACCCGCATGGTGTGGTGGAGAACGTTTTAGCCTTCGGAAAATAATAGCGTGCTCGTTCCCCAACGCAGACACCTGTGCTCCGGAGTTTTGCAAATATCTCAGCATCATTGCGGCTGTAATTCACATGACACACTGCCGTTAAAAACTGTAATAGGCAGTAAATAAAAAGTTAACATTAAAGCCCTATACAATGAATTGGAGGCTTAATCAGTCCAGTGTTTTACTTTCTTAAAAAGGCTTTGGCACCTTCGTATGAGGTGATAAGGAGGGCTTCATGAGGCCGCGGTGTTGGACCAAACTGAAGGCCTCGTGGGTAGGGGCAGGGCTTCTCCAATGTATTGTGCTACACGTGAGCTTATTAATAATAACAGAGGTAATTGTAATATCAAGGCACTGTAACTCACGATGCCCTTCGAATGAATGTGCTGCAATGCGCATACGACTTCCATTGCATAAAATCTCGCTGTTTCATTGAGATTTTCTCTAAAAATCACTTCATTAGTTCTAAATATCCACAATGCAAGTTGAAAAAGTAAAAGCCGCCAGGAATCTCTCAATGAACTTCACCCACTCGCTGATATCGTCAAGATAATTGATTAATTCACCACCATGTACGAATTCCATGACGAAGTAGAGATTGACTCTGTCCATATGGACGCAAATTCTGAAATCTCGGAAGTAGAGAAAAGTAAATCGAGCATTTTACAAATTCTATGTGACAGCGAATCAATCAAGTTCTAGTCACTTCAATAACTCAACTACAACGAATGGTGAAATTAGAAACGCTGATGACGAGCCCGCTTCACTACAGCCCTTCTGTGTCTCGTGAATTACCTGTGTATGAAAATACTTCGTATTTCTCCAGCTTTAAAAAAGAGGTCTTCACGAGATTGAGGTTTGTTGTTTAACATAGGAATTTTACAAAAGGTTTGTTACATAACGATGCCAAGATATTCGCAAAACTTAGACTCCGAACCAGAACGAACCACGATTTCTCTTTCCGGGGTATCGCGCATTACACACTGCGCCGGGTAGGCGCGCTGCGTTTCAGTAGTAGACAGTGAATAAAATAGTAAGCATTGTGATTTCAACTGTAACCTCAGCTTGATTAGGTTCAATGCCGATGTGGGCTCCCTAGATCAATCCCGTTTACAGGTGATTGTTGATGGCACTGGTAGATACTGAGAGAAAAGCAGAAAAAGGGCCTCCGTGGCGCAATCTGTAATGCGCGACACTCTGAGAAGGGAAATCGTGGTTCGATCTGGCCTAGGATGCACGCTTTGCGATTATCTAAGCATCGCTGTGGTTAATTTCGTATAATACCGTGGCGTGAAAATTGCAGTAGGCAAAAAATAAAGAAATAAGAAGTCAAAGTATATAGATTTTACGCGGGAAAACCAACCGAGAACTGGCTTCCATTCTTAAACATCCAAATAAAGCTCTCAAAAAGTGGGTATATAACAAAATGGTATCGTAAGCCAAGTAGTAAAAACATACTAGTTCACTACCTCTCCTCTCATCCTTCACACATGAAGAAAGCACTTATCAAAAACATGTACCGTACGGATAAAAATGAGTGCACAGGAGAGGAGGAAAGGAAGGAATCGCTAAATCTGGCACGAAAAATAGCCATTTCCAAAAACTCTTGAGGCGTTTTGGATAAATTTCAAAAATCCAAAGATGAACCGGAAAGACAAATGCCTCATTATCACACGTGACCTGGCGTCCTATTTCAAAATGATACTTTGACCACTAGGTGTGCCTCGCTCGCGACCCCACGTGAACAACGCGTGGCCCAGTCTCACTCGTAACATCACGGTGAGTAGCGTTTCTGTTCAATATGGCGTCTGTTTAAAAGTTTGATCTTCATTAATACTTTAGCCTTTTTTCTACCGAATAATTAAAGTATTCTTGTATAAAATACATCCAGGCTCCGAGGAAGACGAAGTCGCCGAAACGTCAGCCATCGACCAACAACAGCAACAACAACAAGAACGACAAGGAAGACCTATATCACCCTCGCATTGGCTCAACAAGATCAGTTTATAAGAGCGTATAAATAATCTATGCCGAGGTTTATAGAAAGTCTGTCTTTTGAGTTATTCTAAAAACAACCAAAATACTACACACCTATGGAAAACTCATTAAATGAAATAAACATTGTTTGTTACATGAATGCAATTTACATTAGAGATTTTATTAGACCATTTGTACAACTCTTTCGGATGTTAGGTGTTCTCAGTGAATAATTTCCACCTACTTTCACGATGCCGCGAATTTTTTCTAGCAATGGAAAAGTCCTCATGAGAACACGACATTTTGTTTTCGAAGGTGACAACATATATCAACCTTTTCCTATTTTGGAGCACTATACTATGTTAGTGTAAACGTTTTTCTAGATTTTCCGCACTCAAAAACCTATCGCTTTCAAATAACGTTTAGTGGCACCGTGGTCTTCAAATCATACAACATTTTGCACATACAGCTTTTCCCTGTATTTTTCAAAAAAATTTTATACGACCCGCCTTCACGACTACTGTTCTCTATCCGAAGACTTCTTAGATTTGATTCGTTTCCTAGCATCTATCATCCACGAAGGCTACCAAGTTTTACATGTGGCTACGGCCGCTGCTTGAGGATTTTTCATTTCATCTTGAAATGTCATAGAATGCTGGCCGAGTTGATTCTCCCTGGAGTTCCGAGATAGCTAGACTGGAACATTCCCAGCTAGATTGTAAAGAGTGATTTTTTTCTTTGACAAGTCTAGTACTAATTTCCCGACTCCAAAGGGATGAGAAGCTTGGTGGGACTGCGGCGGGATCGAGCCGGCACCGTGCTCGTGGTGATTAGCATCACTATCACTGCGCTACTCGTCTTCTCATTACGTGTTTACATTCTGATTGTTCTCTTCGTGCTTATTTTCATAAAATTTCAGCTAATGGTGTTAAACTGGGAACAGAAATGGAGATTTGAAACCATCTTTTGTATGAATTCAAACTTGGACGCAAAGCCAAGTGCCTTTCCTCCAACATATGCTCTGTTTCATTAGTCATTAGATCCGCTATATGAATAAAACTGGCGACGAACATGTAGAGTCGCAAATAGTCGGCTCGATTGTAGTAAAATGTAATAAAGAAACATATGAAACGGTAAACCATAGCAAAATATGAGTGTGGTAAAGCATTTTAAAAAGTGTATTGAAAAACGTTAGGCTAATAATAAAACTTTTAACTCACAGTTCGACGATGAATGGCGAGGATATGCTGAAAAGCAGTTCTTTCTCGCGTTTAACATACTCAACTCGTCCTTCTTCTACTACCTGAAATATGGATGAGGTAGAAGAAAGATTGATAAGATAAGCCTAAAGTAACGTGTAACCCATGACAGCAACATTTATTCGAACAAAATAAGTAACAGCAGTTTTTAAATTTTTCGTTTATTTTATTTGCTCTTGAAAAACTCTCCCATTTGACTTGCACTAGTTAGAAAACTGGCATTTTTGTCTCTACTGTATAGGAGTCATGCAGTTTTGTTCAAAGCTGAGTAGTGGCAAAACATGTATTGGGTCGGTGAATCTTGGTTCCAATAAAAATTTCGACGTGCTCATCTTCTTGCTGAAAATTGTTTTGAACGGCAGATTTCGTCCATCTGTTCGTAATTATTTTTCGTTAGTATTTGACTTAGTTTCTTGGAATAAAAAAAAACAAACTTTTTCCTTCATTTTCGTTAACTGAAAACTTTGTGTGAAACCGCTTAAAGGGTCGGCAATACGGTTACTACAGTAGAGCAAATAACGTCTATGGAACGTATGGTTGCAACGCTAGTCTTAGGGATTTCCAGATGTGAAGTGAGAATCTTGATACTGACGAAAGTTAGAAAGACACCACGTCCGTATTTCATGATTACATTGAAGCTGCTCCATCGATATGTGTTCGAGAGCAGGTAAAAGAAGTAGACGCTAGTAAACATATACCAAACAGATCGCCGTGATAAATTGTTCCCAATCCTTTTTGTTCTGAATAAACGACCCATTTCTTGGTCGAACGAAAAATGTATTCTGTGCGATAACAGACAACATTTATCTCAGTCGTTCGACAAATATGAAGCATTCAGACACTTTCTGGAACCTAATTTGCTTCAAGGAGGAATACTAAGATGGTCATCCGAGTTTGATAGCTATAGTCATAACCTAAGCATTCGCCCCAGAGAAATCATTTCTAAAATGTCAAGAAAAAGAAAGGATTCCAACTTTTGCTACAGTCGTAAATTCTCCGAAAGGGGTCAGTTCCGTTATTGAGCCATAATGTCAACGGCTAACCAAAGCACGTCGGATAGTCAGCACTGAAAAAGTTGAAGAATTGAGATGCAAAACCCAGTAACCGAGTGCCATTTCTCAATCATATCTAAGACAAATTGTGCCGAAAATCTTCCACAATTGAAATCCCTTCAGGCCCAATACTATGGATGTCAATTTCCACGTCATTTTCCACCTATTATTACTCGAACTTCTAATCATGGATCTTCACCTACACAGAAACGAGTCATATTAAACTTGAGAAAAAACTGCTTCGTGCCTTGAGAGCCCGGCTGAAGCTAACTTATCATAATGTGGGAAAAAATGTCGTGCATAAGAGATCAATGCTGAGTGATTCGGTTTATTTGTGCAGTGCCCCTATTCCAGTAGATTCGATTCAACGCCACTACGTAGACCCACACGAAAAGAACTAACTGGCGTGGGCACTCGAATTAAGTGGTCGCGTCTCTGAAGAAAGCCAAGGCATAGAAACATTCGCCACAACAAAAGGTTGTTGTAATAACTGCATGTTAGCTTATAAGCAATAATATATAATAAATACAGTGACAGGTATGATTATACCCAGCATAGGGTTTAATTGCGAAACTAATTTTAATGAATCCGTCGGCTTAAGCCTATAATGAGTTCTAGCAGTCGTCGACAGTCGACTAACCACGGAGGTTTGTAAATGTATAAAATTCTATCTATCTTAGCAGACCTGATGAATATTGCATTTCTTCACCGCATAGTATTGTCCTTTGACATTACTCCATGCCAAATCTACCCGTCCAAACGAACCACTACCTACAGCAGTTTGATTTTTAAGGAAAGCCGATAGAGGCTTTGTTAACCAACTCACCGATTGTGGCGATATCCTGAAGCTCTAGGGTTACATATGGGAGCATTAGTGAGAAAATGAGTACAGGAAGAATTTAGAAAGTTTAGTTAATCGTTAAAAGGGGTGTACTCAGTAAATTGGTTGTTATATAAATGCGGAATTCTAGAAAAAATGAAGTGCGGAAAGATGAGGAATTCGCTGGTTTAAAGTGACAGGTGTTTGAGTAAACTCTTATGACCAGTTGTTTGAAAGCATTCGTGCTGGTTCTTCCCAGGCGCACCACGTACCAATTCAAAAATCCTCCGGATGAATAGTAATTCAGCTAACTAATGTGTTGTTTTCTTGTTCAGCAATCGCGAGGTTTTTAAACAGCATACATTTACTTCCATAGAAAAACACAATACAATACAACGCTAGCTGACGTTTCGGCAGTATCGCCTTCTTCAGAGCCTGGAAGGGTATGCTGATATACAATCTACTAGGCCAAACGCTTCAATAACACTTACAAAAAGACGAAAGACTCTTTGGTAATTACACGATCAACAACTTCTCGAAAAACCCACCGCTTTTTTTTTCGTGACTTCCAATGAGGAAGTTTAGAACAGCTGATTATAGTCGCATGTGGTTGACGGCTGCACCATCCCACATCAAAAATCGATGCGAACGCACGGGATCAGGTCGCGTATGACCTCCGGGCATTCATCGCTGCTATTCATTGTAGGGTTTTTGGCATTTATCCAAAAAGCCTCAAGAAGTTTTCGCGCTGGTGTTTTGGACTCCTGTGCAAGGATGGACTTAGCTAACTAAATTCTAATAGCTTTGATGGGACAACGTGTGATGGCCAAGGTCTCTAAGTAATTTTATTTTACAAAGAAAAACAGTACCCTTGCGTTACCAGCACTGTTAATCAGTTTAGCAGTTTACGGGAATTGCTAGAACACTAAATAAGCAGAGTATAGAAACGTTTTTCCAGTATTTGAGGAAAGTTCCATAACAGATTCCAAAAGTGGATCTCTAGATGGTTGAAGATATTGCTTAGATTTTTTAAGGACATATCAGCCGAAAGTAAACTTCTGATTTAGTTCTATAGGAGATCATCTGAATTAAAATTTATCTAGTTTCGTAGGAGAATCAGTAGCCATCTTTTTGAGAAACTATACGATTAATAGGAGAGCAACCTGCGTGGCTATATTCCACATTCCTGTTTTTTGAGCTTTTTCTTCCTAAGCTTTTGCAACGCTTCGTTATCCAGACGGCTCCGCGAAATATTTTTTCACTCGACATCGGTTACCAATCTACAATTACTCTATAACTTAAAGTAACAAGAAGAAATATCGCTTGAAATTACCAGAGCTAAGTTCGAACACAATAAATTTTGGTATACAAAAACAAATAAACATGGACATTCAATATTGTGAATACGATCAATCACCTGTCACCTGTAGTCCCGTTGATCATCGAGTGGCTCGAGCCAGCCCCAGTAAATCTTCCATTTTTCCCTGTCGCGTGCAATAGTAACCCTGTGGCTCCCACGACCGACTTTCTATTAACCTCGGCATTGATCAAGTAATTCTTCGTATTTTTGTTGAGCAAACGCGAGGTGTTATTGTTCTTTGTTCACGAATAAGCTGACGTTTCGGCGGATTTCGCCTTCCTCAGAGCCGAAAATGAACCGCAGGGAAGAATGCCTCATTATCACGCGTGATATAGGGCAGTATATAAGACTGCTATTCTGATGGGAGGGGCACATTATGCTTCCATGTGATTTCTGTGCGGTTGGTCTCTACGTGACATACTTAGTGGAAACCTCATAGAAAGCGGTGAGTGTGCAAAGCTGTGTTCAATGTGATTGAAATCTTGGTTTGGGGTTTCTTTGTTTGGTTATGTAGGCGTCTGGCCGAGTAGACAGCTATCAACTTGACCTTTCCAGGCTCTGAGGAAGGCGAAATCCGCCGAAACGTCAGCTTATTCGTGAACAAAGAACAATAACACCTCGCGTTTGCTCAACAAAAATACGAAGAGTAACCGAGTGGGTTCTGCTCGCTCTAGAGACTCGTCGAGGATCATACTTTCTTCCAAGCTCTTCGTGAAGAACTTTGACCATCGGGTCGGTGGTCTTCTTGCAGTACGTTTGACATCCCGAGGAATCCAGCCACTAGCGGCGCTTGTCCATCTGTTGTCATTCATACGCATTACGTGTCCGGCACACCTTATCTTCGGCTATTTGGCGTACAGAACGGCATCTTTGATTTTTGATCGTTGACGCAGATCGGAGCCTCGGATCCCATGATTTACTTGTGTGGAACGGAATACTCCTAGCATCGCCAATGTGACTGCGCGTTCGACAACACTGAGTGATCTTTCTTCTCGCTTACGCATCGACCAGGCTTTTAACGCACGTCAGGGCAGGAAGTACCGTTGAAACGAAAAGGCGGGCTTGGAGTTGGGTGCTCTTTGTTCTCTTCACTACATCCTCGATGCTTTTGAAAGTTCTCCAAGCCGCTCGTTTCCTTCTGCTCAGCTCTGGAGCTAGATCGTTCATCATATTGATTTTCCGACCTAGATATAACTGGAGCATTCAGAGATATTCGTTCTGTTGAGCGTGAATGGGGCGTGCGAAACCAATCCGTTGTTCATGAACATCGTTTTTGTGAGATTTAGTCGAAGACCGATCTTTCCACAGGCTTTATCAAAGTGGTCAAGCATACGTTCCGCTTGGTTAATGTTTGGTGTTATAAGGACGATGTCATCAGCAAAGCGAAGATGGTGTAACTGCCGGCCATCAATTTTCACTCCCATATTATCCTACTCCAATGTTCGCATGACGTTCTGGAGGGTGGAGGTAAATAATTTTGACGAGATGGTATCGCCTTGCCTAACTCCTCTTTTGACGTCAATGTTAATAACGTTGTAGAATGGTGATATCTTGGTTGCGAAATTTTTGTACAGCTCACGAAGAATCTTTATGTACTGTGTAGGGACTTGACTATCAAGGGCTCGCAAGACTGCTTCTATCTCAATTGAATCAAAGGCCTACTGTAAATCGATGAAAGTGGGACAGAGCGGTCTTTTGTACTCTCATGTGGTCCATCGTACTAAATCCTTTTCGAAACCCTACTTGCTCACATGGCTGTCCTTCGTCCAGTGTTCTGTCAATCGTGTTTAGGATTATGCGAGTGAAAAGTTTGTAGACGACAGACAGCAAGCAGACTGGGCGCTAGTTGCCGATATCGTGTAGATCACCCTTCTTGAATAATAACACGGTTTTGCTGGTCTTCCACTGAGTAGGGATCCTGCATTCAGACAGGTAACGTGTGAAGAGCCGAGCCAGTGTGTTTACGAGGACTGGCGGAAGGTTCTTCAGGTGTTCCGGTCCTATCCTGTCCGGACCTGGTGCTGTTCGATTTTTCATCGCCGAAATGGCATATGGGATCTCGGAAGGGAGAACCGGTTGTACAACATATCCATTCTTTGTTTCATATAACGGAAGGTGGACATAGCTATCGAGGAGATTCGAGTACTATTCGTGAATGATTTTCTCCATTGCCTTTCAGGACGCTGTAACTGTTCCATCTGGGAGCCGGAGTGCCACCATTTTGGTCTTGTAATTGGCGAAGCTTCGGTGGGCTTTACGAATGCTTTTCCCAGCCTTTGCAGCTTCGACCACTACTGCTGCTCATCTCTCTTTAAGATCTTCTTTTATTGCCTGTCTGCATTGTTTTGTAAGTTCGGACGTTAGTTCGCGGTTGCCTGCAGCTCGTGCGATATCAGTATCAGCTCGAGAGTTTCTGGAGGCAGACGTCTCTTTGTGACTTTCGAGCTCTCAGATTTCATAGCGCTAACGTGAAGATGTTGAATGAGCCGATCATATTCCTTGTCGATGTTATCGACAACGGCATCTTCCCAACAGCCGACTAATTAATTGAATAATTCCTAGTTTACGGTGGTTGTGGAACTTCGGGTTTTCAATTTAGCGGCTGTTTCTCCTTTCCGCGAGTAATAGAATCTTGCGCAAAGTAGACAGTGGTCTGATTCCGTGTAGAATTTTGAGATAACAGTAGCGATATCGCTTAGGAAAAACCTTCTATTTACCATGATGTGGTCTATTTCGTTATGGTGCTCTCCATTGGGAGACTCGTCAGTCCAGCGTTGAGGGTTGGGCTTCCGGAATTGCGAGTTACCATGGATGGTCGTGGTCGCCATGATAAACTCAGAAAGCCGCTCACCCTGTTCGTTCTATTCTAATCCATGGGTCCCAATGTGACGTTCTTCAGACGTGCCTCTTGGTCCAATCTTGGCGTTGAAATCTCCAATGATGACCGTGAAGAATGTATGGTCTCCTCTATAGAACTTCCTCAAGTCCATATAGAACGCTTCGACTCCTTCTTCGTCATAGTTTGATGTCCGCGCGTTAACGGCGAAGATTGTCAAAGTCGGTATTGATCCACATCTCTTTAATCGTAAACGTCCGTTCAGGCTGTAAGTTATTCGAATGAATCGATGTTCATGGACAAACTCGCGTTGACAAAAACGCCGACTCCGCTGACTTCTCTATTGTCGCATGTTACAACGAACAATTCTTCTTCGACAACGTCGTAGCTTATGCTTCTTGCTTGCATGAATAAGTCCTCTATCGAGGACTCGGAAGCAAGTCTATGTGCATTGCTGGTACAGATCGTCACCATAGTTTTTTGAAATCCAGGCAGCTTCCATTGGTTCTAAGATTTTAGCAGCCTCTCCGTACTCGTCCTACCCAACGCTGCGAAATCGGGGGCTCTTTCGGGATTAGGGAAATGAGTTCCGTTTTTTTCTACCGTGTTTGGCATTTTTGTTACCCACGTATAGCTTGCTCTAAGCATGGGGGCTGGGTATACTGACGGGTAGCTTGCCAGGCTCTCCCAGAGTGGACATGGAGCTTGTTTGTTGGAGGCGACTCCTAACCGCCTCCCATGTACTTCCCTGTCACTTGATTGCAGGCTTTTGGCTGAATTGACTCGTAGAATACAATCTGCATAAGCGAGTTCGCACTGACACACACATGCATGAATACGCCTAGCGAATACAGAGAATATGTGCCAAAGCGGGGCAGCAGAAATAGGGAGCCCATCCTCTGGATCGACCTGTCTCAGGGAAGCAAAGGTCTCTTTTGGTCCGCGGTTAGCCACCCCCTATCCACCACCTGAGGGCGCGCCACGTAGCCTCGAGACTAACAGGCTCGAGATCTCTCATGTGAGGGAGATCCGTGGAATACGATAAGTAGTAGAAGAGAATGCATATAGCGCAATGGCGATATGTGTAATGCAATACAAACTGGACTGGATTTGTTGCTGTTTCGATCTTGCTCTCGGGGGTCATCCTTCAATCTCTTCTGCTTCAACAAATGAGTATCAGAGCTGTCTGGAAGGACAGCATCACTTTCGTGACACTTCACTAGACCATCGTCAGCCGATTCATAATCCAGCTATGCATTCATTCGCCTCTACAGTGTTACGAATGGAGTAGTATGCACGGCACGTTCTTTATGGGCTAAACAATTCCGAAGGCCTTATCCTCTACTTAGCTTTTTGATTTTTTGTATGCGTGCGTCAAGCGAGTTTTCATAGGGTTGTAACTATTGATACTACAGGATAACTGGAGCACGTGGTGCATCTCCATTCGGCAGCTACAGGCAAGGCAACCTAGGCATTGGGTGTTGATGTATTCGGTAGATGAGTTCGAAAACTCTAATATAGTTTATTAGGCTTAACGGTTCGCAGCTATGTTAGCGAATATGCTTCTTTATGCCTACTGTGCAACTAAAGCGCCGATTGGGCTAAAAGATTAAATCATATTCTAAAGAACGTACCAATTAGCTGTACCTCTTTTTCAAGACGGCCCGACAACTTATTTGTGAAAACGCTCAGAGCAGGGACGACTTTGAGACCATTTTAAGTTTTCAGGATCTACGAGAATTATGTTAGTAATCCGCAGCACACGTAGGTTGATGAAGGAAAATGGCGTAAATAACTCTACAACATAGACCGGAAAGAGGAAATCCAATGTCGTCAGAATGGTTGTGTTGAAGAGATGGGAAAAGGTATCTTCTGCTAAATACCGTTTTTAATAATAATTAATTGTTTCGCGTTGTCTACAACAGTAGTAAATTTCTCCAAGTTGGCATTCACATCGAACAAATTCCTCTCAGTTCTACGCCCTCTCATTGCATTCGTCAAAACCTACTTCCCGACGTAACCACTATAGGAGTCATACGACGTGGAAATAATGGCAGCCTTTACTTCATCTCCATGTGTCTCGATTCTTGATAAATTTTATGAATTGCAATGAGTATTAAAATCTCAAGTTCTTTGCCCAGAGAGTAAAATCTCCGCTTTACTACGATGAGATTCTAACAGTTTCTGGACATCATGACATATATTTCTTTCACTTTATTGCATCAAGCCTCTATTTCGGGCAAGAAATCAAATTAGCAAGTGGGATTTTATCCAGGATAACAAGGTGCTATTTCCCTACTTGCAGTTTGTTTTTGCTATGTTCCGACTGAAAGCTGAAAGGTTGGATCTGGCTATCTTTTTTAGACTCAAACACATCAGAATTATAGACGACAATGTATAAACTTTATACATGCAATTCAGGCGATACAACAAGTTCTACTCTTTTTATTCCTTTCTATTAATTTTTTATTTTTTTATTTTCCATACTTCCGTAAAGTTTTCAACTTCTGAAACTTTCTAGTAATGAGAAATTATTGTCGCCATTACTGGCGGTACTTCCATTTAACGGAACCCTTCTATCGCTAGAGTTGTTGTTTGGATCTTAGGCCTTCAAACAACAACTATAGTTCGTATGAAATGCTGAGATATTTGCAAAACTCCGGACCGCAGGTGTATGCAGTGGGGAACGAACACGCGCTGTTGTCCTTACCGGGGAGTAGTGCACTTCACCACTACACCATCCGGGTCCTTCGTCTTGCCTGTCTCTCAGGCTAGTTCTATCAGTCTTTTTGCCATCGGCAATCACCCGTCAACGGGATTGATCTGGGGAGCCCAAATCGGCATTGAACCCAGTTAAGCTTATATTTCGCAACATATCCTGCCATTAAGAAGAGAAAGGCAGTAAATAAAAAGGGTTAAGATTGTGATAACAACTATAATGATAGAAGGGTTCCGTTTATCCTACCCTTCATCTCAAATGATATAAGTACAGCTATAAAACGCTGCCTAAGAAGGGCGGGTTTAGAGACTTCCATTTAAACTCGGCAAAAATAAACAATACCTCCTCCGATTGTCAAGCTAGCACGAGGTCAGTAAAAATATTTATTCGGCTAACGCTTCGGCGTCGACGTCTTCTTAAGAGGCGGCTATTGAAAGGATCTATGAATTTCAATGATTCTTGCTGATTTCAATTAACAAAGTTCATTATGAGCTAAGATGTGATTGCTTAACACATACTGGACAATATGTACTCTAAACAATCATACCGGTGCGCGCCTTTGACGGCAAAGCTATGTAAAGAGGTCATTTTACTTCTTTTTTGGTTTATTTTAGAGCACAAAACTCTTTTCCTGCAATTCTTGTAAACAAACGATGACCGCTTATCCAACACAGATGTTATGGTAGACGCTGACCGGAATTACTTCTACTGTTCATTTGGAAATATTGGGAGAACCGGTTGTCGAAAGAATTCATTGACTGGTAATTTAACTCGAAAATGACTGTTATTTGAATTCAAATTGCTATATTGAGTAAGTTATTGTATGGAATTTGAAACACAAAAGAAAAACAAAAGTAGACTCAGCGCAAGCATAGAACACCTCCAAACGATTGCAGCAACGCGTTCATATAATGGACCATTGTAGCATATAGTAGTAGACGGCATGAATGTATACCACAGCAGTGGTGCAAGGTCTCTTCTATCACACTGTGATGTTTTCGACCTAACAAGTGTTCTGGTAAGCCACCTGTCTCCACGTAAAGAATAAACTTTTGAACCCTCAAGTCGCACACAACCCAGGTACGAACTCTTCACCATCATTACTGTAAGCTTCAAGATGGAGAAATGAATGGAGGAACTGTTGAAGTCTCACAAAACATGTGAACGAGCCCACCTACGTATTTAAGTAACCACATGTCAAATGATGAACAAGGTTAATAGAAAGGTGCTTGTTAAGGTGGTGAGTGGACGGGAAGCTAGTTAATAGTGCGGTTTTTGAAATAGTATGCGAACCAATTAAATTACGAATTAGCTTTTTTATGGTCAAATGATATTTTAACTCGTGTATGACTTTAAGCCAAGACTTCTAACAACGAAGTGCAAATCAGACATAGTAGCATAAAACAGAACGCAAATCCCACTAATATAAGGGTTGTGCACTAAATTCTCTACTGAATAAAGTAATGTTACCACCGAAACAGATCTCTGAGAGTTTAAAAGATAGGAGTAGCAAATAGAAGCTAGATAAGATTAGCATTAATGGCCATAGAGCGAAATATAGAATTTCTAGAGAGCAACTGCTGTGGAGTGTCGAATTCGGCGACTCGGCCTGCATCCATAACCAAGACTCTGCAATTAGAATTTCGTAGTTCCAATGAAAGGGTTATATTTGGTCGCTCTTATGGGATCACTAAAGCAAAACATATTTGTCTATGACGAAAAAAGTGTTTCATATCGACGTACCATGATTAAGCTCTAAAACGCTATGAACTACAATTGTCCACATTTTTCACATTGCTAAGAACCTTAGAAATTCCATAAACAAACCGATCATAATCGAAGATAGTATTAAGACGGTGTGCAATTGTGATTATAGTTGAAGACGAGAATTGACTTCGTATCGTGTCCTAGAATGAAAGAAAAAACTTCGTTGCAAGTTTGAAGCCAAAAAACTAACCTGAATAAGCATGTCCGTTTGAGAGTCAACCGATGCAGTGGCTTCGTCTAACACTATCAGACGTGACTTTCTCATCAGTGCTCGAGTCAAGCATATCAACTGACGTTGGCCAGCACTGAAACATTACAAAGAACTGTAGACGTTAAGTTGTTAATAGCAGCTAATCATCAACTGAGCTGGCTTTCACTTAATCTCGGAGTGAATAATCAAGGGATTTGTTTAGATCGTTCACCTTACACGAGTTATTATAAAACTCAGAGACGATGATCCGTCTCAGTCGTCCACAATCGTTCATCTTCTCGATATGGAGTCTTCGTCATCGTGTCGAGTTGGATTTTCTTCAATGGAGCATCGTTCGAACGAGGCAACCTTATCAGGCAATGCGCTTTTATACAGGACAAGTGATAACTGATTGTCGATTGGTCATGATTTCCTTCCATGTCCACAATTCATCCAATGGAAATCGGTCTTAGATTAGCTACCAAATATCGATATAATGGTTAATTAAATCGGAACATCGCCGGGTGAGGTTATGTCATTCAAGCAGTGCTTCACTGAAAAAGAATCGACTCGACACGACAACGAAAACCCTACGTCGAGAGTTTGAACGACTGGGGAGCATGAAGTCAGACCATCGGCTCTGAGGAAGACGAATACATCGAAACGTTAGGCGAATAAAGGTTTTATAACAACCTCATGTAAGCTGAACAAGAAAAACGGAAGCAGCTAATCAGTTGTTACAATTGCTCATATGTTGCTTTTTCATGTGTCAGGCAGAAATAGAGACAGAGCACGCATTGTGCAGTAGAAATAGATAGTGCAATACGCATGTGGTCGCTGGTTCGACGGCACACCTCGGGTTTATCACACCTTATTTTACCCCATGGTCGGCAGTTGGTCAGAAAGTGATACAAAGACGTATAGAAAGGTAAACAACCTTAACCCAAAAGCCAAAAATTTGTGAGAGCAGATATTCAAATTTTAGGTCTTGTGTTCTATGGTTTATGTTACATGCTGGGAGTAAATGACTTCATTTTAAAAACATCAAATGTGCATCTATCTTAAGCCCACGAATATCTATTATTCTCGTGCTACCCTTCGAACTAAAACAAACCAAGGAAAGAAAACCTTTAAAATCTGTTCGCCTAGGAAAGCTCACCTAATATTATGACCGCATTCGTCAACTTGGTGTTGAAAACCAAGAGGAAAGCTTTGCACAAAATGCTTCAAATTGGCATGTTCGATAGCTGACCAGAGCTCCGCATCCGTATGTTTCTGTGTAGGATCCAGATTGAATCGTAATGTTCCAGAAAACAGTACTGGATCCTTAACAAACGATTTGGATTTAGTTACGAACTAAGACGAAGCCATGGGAGATTTCCACAAACCTGGGGTATAATAGTTAATCGCTCCCTAAGATCATGTAGGCCAATGGTGGTGATATCGACACCATCGACCAAAATTTTACCGCTAGCTGGTTCAATAATTCGAAACAGCGCTAATGCTAACGAAGATTTACCTATACAAATAAAGACAAAAGTTGCCTTAAGAAACTGAGAGAAATTTATTTTGTGTAACCTGAGCCTGTCCTGCCTACGAGTCCAATTTTCTCCATTGGGAAGATATGAACAGTGACATCTTTTATCACTAGATCAAGACCCGGACGGTAACGCGCTGAATAATTATAGATAGAAATTTCGCCTCTTGGCCAGTCAATTGGTGGAGGATGTCGGCATCGCCATGGTGCCTGCCAGGTGAAAATAATCCGTAGACATGAAGATCGCAATGAAGAAACATCTGACGAGAGACGTTTACCTCGACAGCAGTCTCAGTGTATTCTTTTATTCTCTCAACTGCAACGATGTTCGTTTCAATCTCGCTCAATTGGCGCATGAAAAAGTTGAGCATGAAGGTTATCTGAAAGGAAGAATTTGCCACACAATTTGCACTTTGTTTCCTAGGAGAGAATGAGCGGAGCACAAGATTCTCAAAGTTAATTACTCACATTCAGACTGTAGGAAACGGAGAGTCCAATAGCACCTGCCGACATGGTTCCCCAATCTCTCGACATCACCGCGAGCAAAGTTGTAGCTAAATTTTTCCACTTTATTCTGATCATTTGAAGTCAGTGATTACGAAAATCACTTCGAACGTTAAGACCAACTATCTCTAACGTTTGGACGAATACCTAAAGTAAACGCCATAAGAAATGGTTAGCACATTTGCAATAACACTCAATATTTACAACAAACCTTGTTTACGGTTGTTTCTTTAGCCACGCAGGGTTCTTTGTTGTACATTTCACGGCAAACCTTTCCTATCACAGCGTTTTTGCACCCAGCTAGATCAAAAAGATAGTTATTGGGAGAAGTTTGTTCATCTTCTGGAGTTACGGTTCCTGCCCCTTTCTTTTAGAAATGAATACCTCAGAGATTGCTGTTAATGAGAAAAGCGGAAAAGCTGTTCTTACTTTGGGCAATGTCAGCCCGTGCGCTAAGTTCAATAGTCACTGCTTGCGAGAAGAAATTATGCTTTGTTTTACACCGAAGCAAAAAAAAAAACAGAATTAGGCTTCCTCACGAATGTGTCAAATGTTTGAAACTATTAAATTGCACACACCAAGGATCACAATGCTTCCTAATAACTCCAGGCGTACCGCCAACCATCTGCCGGAAATTTGCGACCAGTATGAGCATTGGATATGTTTCTCGAGCTAAAACAAAATCTGGTAGCAATTGGAACGATCTTTTCAACTACGCTGCAAACATGATCTTTAACCAAGCTCAGAACTTAAAAATGCTTCAAAAATCTTCCGTAGAATTGCCGCCTCATCGTGGCTGGCGGGTATTCCTGGGTGTCGGACTGTGATCTATAGTGGAAGGTTTACTCCTCCCCAGAATGGTTTTCCAAGCTGAAAAGCAATCCGACGTTTCTACCCAGAAGCCTAGCTAAGGGCAAACCAATACCAGAAATCACCAGCGTTCTAGTTCCAAAAAAGTCGAAAGGTGACAAATCTTACTATGACCTAAAAGGGTCGACTGTCTGTAGTGGTGACAACCTGAGGAAGGTTTCGGCCAGGAACTTCAGGAAACCACAGCGGCTAAACCAGCAAAGTTTCGACCTTAACTCGTCGCACGCTGGGCCCTGCGATCTACGAATTCAGGGGTGAGACAATAAGCAAGAGGCGATCAAAGCTCGGGTTGGACACGATGTCAATGGAAACCGACAAAACTGGCACACCCCCGTCATGCCATGGAAACTCTGTAGACTTATAATGCCATAACAGTTTCTTCAGGCTCCGACCTTCACACACTTCTTAAGGCCACTGGTCGCGTCAAATTCCACGTCATCGCCCTATAACAGACAAAAATAGGAAGACCTAAATATATCAATTAGATGACGGAACCCTTTTCATATGTGGAAGTAAATTTCCGTTACGATCTGATGCGTTCGATTTGTTGTACACCCATCTACTTTCCATCTAGTCACCTCATACGAAATCCTATCACCGTGCTTGGTCATTCTTCGTTCCTAACTTCTGCCTCAAAGGGAAGTCAGTATCACCAACTACTACTCACCAACTTGTTCACCCCATGAGAGCGAACTGAACTCTTTTCACAACAAGTTGGAGAAAGTAATCTGCAACGTGCAACGCTTCCTCGGATACGTCATCCATGAAGGTGTTCTGAATTTTAAACTGAAGCTTCTGCTGATGTTAAGGATTTTCCTTTCATCGCCAATGTCGTTTAATGCTGGTCGAGTCGATTTTCTCGGAAATTCAGAGATTGCCGGTATACAGCTTGAGGGAACTTATCCCAGATAAGTTCGGTATCAAATTCTCGACCCCTAAGGAATGAAAGGCTTGGTGAGTCCAGAACGGGGTCGAACCAGCACTATGGTTGTGATCATCGGCATCACTGTCACTGTAGTACCCACACGTGTGGAAACACTGATCCCAAAAAAACGCTTTTAGAGATTTAGAACGGGCCACGCAGCTATGTTCGAAACGGACGACCACCATGGACTTCGAGAGAGAAACGAATAGAAGCTATGCTGGGGCCCACACCACCACTGAATAAAGGTCATCCAAGAATACAAGTAAAGTGCTAGAATTGTTAAGAAATGTCGACAGCTGTCGAACAACTCGCTCTGTACTAACGAAAAACTGCTCTAGGCATACAGCATTCTAGAATGTTTTTAATTAATAAATTAGTCAAATGATGTAAATATGATATCTAATGATGTAAATTCAACATTTTAATAGATAATTGATGTTTAATCCCATGAAAATAGGAATCAATGGAATCCCAAGACAAATAAAATGTAGACTAATATAAGACACATAAGGCATTCTCAACATATTCAGTAGTACTGTAACGAAACGGCCTCATTTCATTCGAATGTCGAGGAGCACATTGATTTGTTTATCGGCCAGTTTGCCTCGGTCTGCATGAGTAACACATGATTCATGCCGTCACCAATGTGTTAAAAACGCAGATTTGAGGACGGCTGACAATCTCAATGGAACGAGTATCACATTTAGGGCTAAGTGTTTTAGATACACCATATCGGTCGCGGTTTCAAAACACTCGGATCCTGCGGGTGAGGTGCCAGATGATCTACATGGCAATGTTATAATCTTGCTCTACACTGGCGTTCCTGTTGAAATGACGAAGTTTTAAATCTAAGATAGTAACGATATTTGTTGGCACAGCGAAGTAAGCGAAAAATCGTAGTCACGATTAAAATAAAACTGAACACTAACACAATAACTATGATTATTTCTTAAATGTAAACCTATCGCGCGATGCAGTGAAACGTAGCGACTTGGGACGCCGTTCAATAATACAAATACGATCACTAGTTCGACTCCGTGGAAACCAAACCATCCACTCCCCACGTTCGTCAGACTGCTACCAGACTTGCCCAAAAAAAGCTCCCTCCGAGGCATAAAGGGCCGGGAATAATTGTGGTGACTGCCTAGAAACGCCGTTATGTGGCTATCTTGGACTTTCAGAGATGATCTACGCCATCACTATTCCACGACTTTCATGAACGAGACCAAGTCATCAAGCAGCAGATGAAGTCGCACATGAGTCCGATGGTTCCCGTGGATAACGGATGTGAAAAGACGAATCTAGTTAAAGAAGTGCTGAAACCCACACCATACGTGATGTTGGCTCGTGAAAGTTTGAAATATAAAAATGAAAAGTCTCTCGTAAGCACCTTTTCTATGTTTTGCGTCTTAAACATGTTAATCCATCCAAATGCACGAATTATGGTTGCACCTTGAATGCTCTCGTCAAAATGGGAATAGATAGGCGACCGAGTAATTGCTGTTAAGCGCTGAAGTTGACGAGAACAGGGTATAAAATAGTGCTGAAACACGGACATAATACTAGAGAAGAAAGACAAACAATCTTCAATCGATAAGCAAAGTAAAATTACATAAGAAGTCCTCGAAGCTTACCAAGACCAGAAGATAGATCACAAAGATTGGAATAATGACCAATGTGAAAAGAGGAGTTGATATGGAAATGATTATGCACGTCTAAAACTAATAAGAAACTATCATTCACATTAGCAACAATGACTAAAATTAAAGGAGTACTGACCTGAAGAACGCTCATAAAAGCTATGGCAAGAAACCGGAAGCTGGATGAGAGTCGAAGGTCCACAACTTCCATGTCCTCAATGACATAGGTGAATGGCACAGTGAAGCATGATAGGTACATCATTTGCCTATGCTTACTTTTCCAAGCCGATTTAAAATTCTACCCAGTGGGGTGACATCGAAATGCGATAGAGGGCTCCGAAGAATGTTGTGAAGTAGCGGCTCGTGAAGTTTCAGAGAAGCAACTACTGCTCCAAGAATCAAAGCACTGAGAGCAAGGTACATGAAAACAACTAAAAACGGCTGATCAATATGTTTCACATAACAACAAGCAGGAAAATCCTTTGTGGATTCGCTAACCATTAGGCCACTTAAAAGACGCGTATTTATTTAAACGCGATAAAACACAAGGTGAGAGTGAAAAAAAGAAGTGTGACCTTCTAAGGTTCCAAACAGAGCGTAGATACCTAGCCGAATTCCAAGTGGTTTGGCCAATCCCTTATCCACTCCCGGAATATTATCATTTGACCTAAACCGGTCTCCTTAGAAAATTATGTTGAAAATTCATGCCTCGAATGTATCGAACCAGTCAGAAAGCCATAGGTTTCTAGCCATGAGGAACACAGAATTCAACACCAATGCGACGACAAATGGAACGAAGTAGCGCAAAATTCCCATAGACTTCAAATATACCATATAGACGGAGAATTTTACCTACAATAAAAACATCACATATTTATAACAACATATATACATATGTATATATATATATATATATATATGACGTCATACCCTTCCTAGCGCAATTTCCTCCTTTTCGATAAGGTTCCCATGCTCCTTTTTCGAAAAATACTTCTAAATATAAAATTATTAAAACTTCGCGAATGGAGACAGTGATATTATACTGTTATTAATAGACGAAACAGCTTCAAAACCCAATTTTCAGATAAATATTGACGAACTTTTTTCGATTCTCTAGAAGTTCGACTGTTTCTGCTAACCACTGATCGCACCTCATCAGCATCAAGCTCGTCCTCATTATCATCGCTTTTCGATCTAAACATTAACGGCATGTAGTGTAGAAGTTTATGGTGATTCAGAAATGCTCCATAAACCTAAGCTTTTTACAAAACGCTTTGTTACTGAAGAAAACTTGAGAATGGAGGACAATTAAACAAAAACGTCTGATGAACACGTTGATATCATGGGTAAGATGTCATTATTTATCACACTGCCAGCGCTATCATATTTATAAAAAGGTTTCGTTTCTTCCTAACCTATGACATTTCTATAAATGACAAGCGAGAGAACAGAACACCTCACATTTTAGATGATTCTGAATTGGGTGAGTCCTCACTTTCCTGTGGAGATTCTTGCATGACTTCGGACACATCATTGTTCCTAAGAGTATCATACGTAGCTACGTGAGTGATTGAACCTCCTAAAATAGAGGCAAAGTGTAAGAAGGAATTTGTGCAACAAACAGTTACAAACAAAGCGTTCAACCTCTCATCACTACAACGATATCTGTGTCCTTTAAAAAAGAAAGTCCATGAGTAACGAGGATTCTGCAAGGATAGTTGTAGATAGAACCAAACATGCTAGAACAGACTTAATTTGCTAGAAACATGCTCACGAGATACGACATAGTGCATTCGAAGTATTCAAGACACATAGTAATTTTGTTCAAGATGAAGTTATTTTAAGCCGTTATATAAAAATTCAATTCCGGCGCGTGTGGCGCAGTGGTCGGAGGCGGCTTGCAACACACACGAGGAATCGATCTCGGCGCCCATGGCCCACCAAGCCTTCCATTCCTTTGGGGTTGGCAAATTGGTACCAGACTTGTCTGAGAGGATAGCAGCAATGATTCGATAGATCGGTAGATCACCACGAGGCATAGTAAAGGTCAGTCACCTCCAAACGATGCTTAATGAAGTCGAATGCATTGCGCATCCCACAGGGATTGATTAACGCCGAGAGCTTTAGAGCTTCATGTAGTAATTTTGTTCAACACCATATACCTTTGAACAACAAAAGAAATCAATACAACCGTATAAAATGGTCATGGATCCATTTACCTCATCTGTAGCTTGACGAGGATCGTAAACTCTTTGCTATACAGTAAGGCTAATACCTTGTTTTGTGAATGCCACGACCGACTTTCTATTAACCTCGGCATTGATCAAGTAATTCTTCGTATTTTTGTTGAGCAAACGCGAGGTGTTACTATTCTTTGTTCACGATTAAGCTGACGTTTCGGCGGATTTCGCCTTCTTCAGAGCCGCTTTCTATGAGGTTTCCACTAAGTATGTCACGTAGAGACCAACCGCACAGAAATCACGTGGAAGTATGTGATTGTGACATAATGTGACATACTATGTGACATACTATGTGTGACACACTTCCACTGAAGAAGGCGAAATCCGCTGAAACATCAGCTTAATCGTGAACAAAGAATAGTAACACCTCGCGTTTGCTCAACAAAAATACGAAGAAAATCACCTTGTTTTGTTTTTTAGTAGACCCTGTGGTCCGATAACATTGGTAAAAATATGTTTAGAGACGTGAGCATCGACGGCTGATAGAGGATCATCAAGAAGGTAAACATCGCGATCCTGATAAACAGCTCGCGCCAGCGCCACGCGTGCTTTTTGACCTCCTGACAAGTTGATTCCCTAAAAAAGAACCTTACTGGGCATTATACATAATTACTTTCTCTTGCACTGCTCAACCAGAAAAATTTCCACACTATTCAAGAACCTTTTCTCCGATCTCCGTTCGATCTCCGTTGGGGAGTTGTTTTAGATCATCGTTCAGAGCGCACGCCTTAAAAAGAAAATTCCTGAGTTCTTAATTACTGCACAATGATAAACTGTTGAAGCGTTGTTATTATTATCTGGAAGAGATCTACCTCAATAACTCTCTCGTAGAAATTCTTATCGAAAGTTTTTCCCATGATTATGTTATCTCTTAGAGTAGTGTTTCGTATCCATGACTGCTGGGGGACGTACGCAAATGTTCCACGGCGTCCGACATAGCCACAAACTTTCTCCATTTCACCTTAACGTAATGGCAGTAACGAAGCAAATTATAAATACAAAAAATGGATATCGATATCATTGAACTGAATAACTATTTCCGTGTTTCGTTTAAGGAAACGTTGACAAAATGGGAAAATATAGTATACGCACTGAACACCGATAGCCAACTTCTAGGAAACTCAATCTGTAACAATGTTCATTACCAGTTCACCGACTGCTGTGATATGGTACAGAATACGGAATCGACGGTCGAACAAGTGGTCATCTGCTGCTAGCGCCATTTGCTTTGCACTACATACAATAATCCACTGATTCTACAGTTTTGAGTGGAAAATCACTCTCTTCTACGACTTAAACAGACAACGAATATTCCATGGGTAGGTCCCTATTTAACTAGCACCAAGAGTTACCCGTTAACTTGTTTTAGCCCCCCCTATCGAGACCGCATGAAAATCCATGCAGCAGTGGAAAACAAGTCGAAGACTGTTGTCACTTTTGTACCTGTACAGTGGAAATCTGTAGAGAGAAGATGTCGTCCAGAATATAACGTAGCTCGCACACGAATCTCTCAGGAAATCTAGCAATCATTAATGGACTGAAAACTATTCCCAGATATTTGACTCAGGAGGCTGCTTACTACTGTGCTATGTGGCTAAGACGTCTGGCGACTTCTCAACGTGCGGGAGAACACACATGTAAAGTGGAGCGTAGATTGGTGGATCAAGCGATGAAAAGAGACGACGATGAGCGAAAACAACCATAACACCGAAGTTATAACACAGATGATCCTGATGTTCATGTAGAGTGCACGTGATCATGCGCAAAATTGTTCTGGAAATGAGTAGATCGTCACCAATTTCACTAGTATGACTATCATCAGTTGAACAGACCGGCAAACGGATAGAACAACATAGTTGAAGAAACATATTCTCACCAAACTGCTGAAGTTCATACCGATGCATCTACCAAAAATCAAGATTTCCCTAGATCACATACGGTGCGAGCAACCAAAGTGCACAAATGTAATGGAGTCATTCGATGGGGCTTCACTTTATAGCAGTATGTTGAATGACTCCGCAATGCAAGCCGTACTCGAGCTACTCGTAGAAAGAAAGTAAACATGTATGTCATGTCGATTCAGCAACTAATGGCTCTTTTGAAATAAAGGGTTGGCCACGAGACAGCGATTAGCAGTATGCTTTGCCATCGCTTTTGTGTCTAAAGTGGAAGCTTCAGTTCCCGATCACCGACCATTACTCTACAATCGATACATAGACGACTGCTTCATCAACTGTTCCACACAGGAACAAATGTATGAGTGCTTTGAATTGTTAAACCCACAGTCAGAGTATATAAAATTTACACGAGATAAACAAACCTAAAACTGCTTTCCATTCTTAAACATCCAAATAAAGCTCTCAGAAAGTGGCTATATAACAAAGTGGTATCGTAAGCCAAGTAGTAAAAATATACTGGTTCACTACCTCTCCTCTCATCGCATGAAATAAACCGTGGCAGGAAAAATAGCTATTCCAACAGTTACCAAGTAGAAGAAGCCACTCAAGTTAGACAAAAACGTAGGGTAATTCCCCAAAATAATGTTTCGGACGTAGGTAAGATCGCTTTTAAGCTGCCCTTCATATGAAATGAAGTAGGATGCGCCATTAAGAGATGCTTAAAAGTGGTCATGAAAATTATATAACGATTATATCAACATCCCACCCAACACCCTACGTCGTCAGTTAGTTGGCAACCGTCTCCGTGATCGCTTGTGCAGCTCAGAAAACTGTATGATCTGTCCTAATGGGAGAGACGGGAATTGCATTAGTTCAGGAATAAAATACTTGATCTTACGTAACGTATGCGGTGAGGAATATATTGGGAAAACGGGTAGACCACTTTAATTCCGAATAAAAGAACCTTAGATGAAAAAGTTAACACTCGACAAAGTAATGCTCTAGGTACACATAGGGCACAAAAGCACAACGGTGATAACCTTGAAGTGACTGTCAGAAACCTAACGTAGGAATCAAAAACGTCAACGCGCAAGAATCTCGAAGCGTTTCGTATATATTTCAAAAGTCCGAAGATGAACAGGAAAACGAGTCCTCCACTATCAAATGTGGTCCGGCTCATTATTTCAAACTGATTTTCTGACTTAGGTGGGCTTCTGTCGTCATACCACATAAATAATACATGGGTGGTCTCACGCACAAAAGCAAAGTTTTTAAGCAAAATAGAGTCTATTTATATGTTAAAGTTTCGGCTAGTGTTACATAAAGTGCTTCCGGACTATAACGAGGGCAAGCTCGCCGAAATGTAAGCCATCAAACAAAAGCGTCAACAACAACAACAACGACGACTTATACCAAGCACGCATCGGTTGAACAAGGGCAGTCGGTGAGAGTATATATAGAAAACAACCATATTGTGAATCAGAAGGGTATGCGAGCACCAAAGCACTGACGGATGTTGTTTGTAGCCGTAGCCGCTAGAGCTGGAGAAAAATTTTGAGCCATGGAATTGGTATCAGCAGACGTGAACTCCAACGAAACAGACACCACCTCCATGAAGAACGATCATGAGGGAGAGAGAGAATGAAACGAATCGAAATTATGCTAAGGTCTGCATAACTCGTAAACATTAGCCATCCAACCATTATACTACATATTTATGTTAAAGTGAGGTTCTTACCTAGAATACTAAGTAGTAGGTTAGATTTACCAGCACCTACAGCACCGACAATTGCCATTAGCTGTCCTTTCGTAACCTAAATTAGAAGTTGGCCAACGAATCCCTACTAAACATGATGCTCAATGCTTGAAGTTTAACATTTTAGTAACGAGACAAAATTTAATCGTATAATGACATAAATCGCTAGAATTCCATGACAAGTAGAAGGTAAAATAATGCAAAACGAACTGAAGCGTTCTCATATTCAGCAGCATTGCAGTGAAAGCCCCCGCTTCCGAAAGTTCATACAAAGGATGTATTGATTTCAATGCGCACGTGCTCGGGAAACAGTTCGTTTTTTCAAGTTTAGCCAAACATATCTCAGCTTATAGCTTAGCGGGGAGATTGAACACGACGAAATTCACCGCTCCTTCAAAGAGAACATGGTGTTGTTTCGAACGCGCCGTCAATTTCACAGATACAGGTTAAGATTCTCAAAAATTTGACCTTCTGGATTCAATTAAACATTAAACCACTTATTCTTATAAAAACTACAAAGGGTGTTATCTTTTTTATTTGCTGCCTACTATAATTTTCCACGGCAGCGCATCATGTGAAATAAAAAGAAAATGATGCTGAGATAAATCTTTCCACCTCTGTTCAGCAAACACGAGGTGCTATTTTATTTCTTTATTAACGCACGAGCTGACGTTTCGGCGGATTTCGCCTTCCTCAGAGCCTGGAAAGGTCAAGTTGATAGCAATCTACTCGGCCAGACGCCTACATAACCAAACAAAGAAACTCTAAACCAAGATTTCAATCACATTGAACACAGCTCTGCACACTCACCGCTTTCTATGAGTCTTCCACTGAGTATATCGTGTGAAGACCAACCGCACACAATTCACATGGAAGCATAATGCCCCTCCCATCAGAATAACAGTCTTATATACTGCCCCATATCACGCGTGATAATGAGGCATTCCTCCTTGCGGTTCATTTTCGGATTCTTGGAATTAATCCTGAATGCCTCTAGAGTTTTGTACGCTTGTGTTCTCGATTCTTGCGCGAGGATCGTAACCCTTCCTTCAAAATCTTCTGAAGAAAAGAAGAATCTTCTTTTTATTTTTTGATGCTGAGATATTTGCAAAACTCCGAAGCGTAGGTGTCTGCGGTGAGGAACGAACGCGCTATAATCCTTTCCGGGGACTAACGCGCTCACCACCACACCATGAGGGTACTTTGTTTAGCCTATCTCTCAACCAGGTTTCTATCGATCACTGCCATCAGCAGTCACCCTTAGAAGGGTTTCCGACGTCGGAATCTTTTAACTATAAAGGGTTTTAGTTAAAAGAAAATAATAATAATAATAGTAATAATCGCCAATAATAGAAAACCAACATCTTTCGAAACTGTTGTTCGTTCTCTTTTTACAGCAATCGCGAGGTTGTTATTCAGCACACGTTTAATTCCTCACAAATATAACACATAGAACAGAACGGTAGCTGACGTTTCGGAAGTATCGTCTTCTTCAGAGTCTGGAAGGGTGCAGTAATGTGTAATTTACTAGGTCAAATGGTTCAACAACGCAAACAGAAAAATGGAAATCTGAGCAATAATTACAAGATCACGGGCTTCTCGAACAACCCACCGTTTTCATCTGTTTTCCACTAAAAACAGTCCTGTTTCTGTTCTGTCTGTTCTTCCTTGATGGAAAACAGAAGATGGGTTTATCAAGAAGCCGGTGATCGTGTAATTATTGTTCAGATTTTCATCCTTCTGTTTGCGTTGTTGAACCATTTGAGCTAGTAAATTACACATTAGTGCACCCTTCCAGGCTGTGAAGAAGGTGATACTGCCGAAACGTCAGCTACCGTTGTGTTGCATGTGTTATATTTGTGAGGAATTAAGCGTGTGCTGAATAACAACCTCGCGATTGCTGTAAAAAGAGAGCAACAGATTTATAGTCCAATGCCGAGGTTAATAGAAAGTCAATCTTGGGAATCTTCGCGAATATCTCAAATGACGAAATCAGCGCTACTTCAACATCGTGCCACTAAAACGTTAAGCAAAGCTTCGTGGGTACAGCGAATCCAGAGAATGCATTTGAAAACAAACAACATTTTTCGTATAAAAATTATCAAATGATGGCGAAATATGTGCTAAAGATAGACCGGGAAAACTGAAAATGTATGAGATCTAAGCCTGCAGTAATTATATCACAACGTCATTTCGGCACGGAAAGTAGATAGCTGGAAGCACAAATAAAAGGAAAACGTGCATACACTTTACCTTCAAATTAATTCCTTGAAGATGAGGAGGTTCATGGCGATGCCAAGCAAGCGTGGACATCGAAATAACTACCGAGTGAGAATGATCTGAAATATCGAGGAATAAACTTTTTTTTGAATTACTATGGGATAAATCCGCTCTACGGACATTTATTTGCAACGAAAGGATCTGCAAATTTGGGTAGAGGAAGAGAACACGGTTCGGCATCTCTAAAAAATAAGAGAAAAGACGAACGTTTTGGATCGTAACACTTATAAAGCAATAATTGGTTGTTCACTGTTCACTTTTTACGAAAAACTAACAACCCGTTCATGCATGAATTGTACTGGGTGGCGAAGAACGGATTACGCCAGAGGGAAACCACGTGGTCAGTGATTGTTACGACAGTATAATGGCCAGCTTTTATATTAACCTGAATACTTTGGTAGTCGACGTAGTGTGGATACCACAGCACGTTCCTTTTGTTTCTTTATCGCTCCGTAGGTTGTTCATGATGGTGGTCGCTTCGAATATGGTGACATCCGCAAGGTAAATTTTGTGAACTATTAGTCGTTTCTATCTGCGAATGCACATGGTTGAAACAAGCCACAAACACGTCCTTTCACAGTTTACGCTTCATTAGCCTGTGAAAACGTTTCTAATTTCTTGGAGTTTACTACACACTCCTTTTTATCTGTATGTTCTTCACTATCAATATGTATTTTCCTAAATATCCAGAATTAGATTGGTTTCGAAGATCTGAGCTCTGTGCAGACTGTATAAACATTGTGAATGGCTTCAGAAGACGTTCAAGCTATTTGTGAGTGGTGCACAAAGCCAGACGGGAGGAAGGGGCCCCGTCTCTGCTCCACATCAGATCTCTGGGGACTGTTGAACTGAAAAGATGAGCGCGTAGTTTCGGATCCGTTAGCTGCTTGGTGGCTTTTCTGAGAGGCCCGAACGCAGCCTGTACCGCCCTCCTTTTCTTATGTAAGTTTTCTTTCATATCGCCCTCCATGTTCATTGACATCCAGAGTACGAGGTGATTTGTGTAATCGATCGAAGGACCATCCGATTCGGTTTATTCACTTTCGTGTCGTCGGTTTCAAATTAACAAGGTTTCCTTCCGACTTCCGCTCGGTCCTATCCTTTTTCTCACATTTTTAAGCTCACCGAGCATCGCATCTGCTCAGTGACACTACTTGGAAACATGACGATGTCATCAGAAAATCGATTTGTCACAAATTTGCCATTAAAGCATATGCCCGCCCTGATCGATTGACTTCACTGTTCAGTGTAGTGCGGATGTAAACACGTTTGGTGATATTGTGTCCTTATCCCACCCTCTCTGCTGTGAAAATGGCTAGGCCTCGATAGAAAAGTTATACTTCTATAAATACAATGTTAGCCTTTTTATTTACTGCCTATTCTTTTTAATGGCAGAGAATATTGCGAAATATAACTTTAATGATGCTGAGATATTTGCAAAACTCCTGACCGCAGGCGTATGCGGTGGGGAACGGAGGCGCTATTGTCCTCTCCAGGGAGTAACGGGTTGACCACCACACCATGCGTGTCCTTCACTTCGCCTGTCTCTCAGCTAGTTCTATCGATCTTTGCCACAGCAATCACCCGTCAACGGGATTGATCTGGGGAGCCTAATCGGCATTGAACCCAGTTAAGCTGAACGTTACTCCCCGGAAAGGATAATAGCGCGTTCGTTTCCCACCGCGTACACCTGCGGTCCGGAGTTTTGCAAATATCTTAGCATCATTAAAGTTATACTTCTATAGTTCAGTTGCGATAGTGGTTAGCTAGACTTCTTGTATAAGACGTGTCCATTCTTCAGTGGTCATAGGGTTGCATTCGATTCCTGACTGTCAAGCGCTTTTTGGTAGTCAATATATAGTAGAACCAAGGGCAAGCGGTACTCCTGACATAATTCGTTGATCCAGGAAACATTTAGAAGTCGTTCATGCAGCAAAATCCTTTTTGAAATCCTGCTTGTTCAAACGACTGTGCCCCATCTAGTGAGATAAATTTGTCTTCTCACTCCCCGAGCTTGGTGATGCTACTACTTTGTATTATACTGTGATCAGGTAGCAGAAATGACAAGAAAAATGATCCTGTTTCAACTGCCATTGGTCAGAGTGAATGTTGAAGGACCACATAACTAGAGTTCAAAGCGCACTATATGTTTACAGATCAGCACCTGTCGGGTCTAAATTTCAAGTATTCAAGTCATTTTTTTAAGAACAGAGCGTTCAAAAATTAAGAATCGGAATTTCATCAAAATCCCCCTGGAAAATTTCGCCCGTTGTAGAAATGGGGCTCTCAAGAAAAGAAATTTATAAACATGTATCACTGTAAAAAATAACGCTTTCGAGGTAGCTTATTTCGAATAAGGCAGTAACTACAACGTTACTGAGATATTTGCAAAACTCTGGACCGCAGGTGTCTATGGTGAGATAGCTGAGAGACATGCGATACGAAGGACCCGCTTGGTGTGGTGGTGAACGCGTTACTCCCCGGAAAGGATAATAGCGCGTTCGTTCCCCACCATAGACACCTGCGGTCCAGAGTTTTGCAAATATCTCAGCAGCGTTGTGGTTGTATTTCGCTTAGTAACCTGCCATGAAAATTATAGAAGGCAAAAAACAAAACGTTAAACAAAGCAGTAACTGTTTGAAAGAGATTCGGGTGTTCATGGATGAGCTGCGGTAATTTCCATTACTTTCATTCATGACTCGTATCTTGGTATCATACCTTAGAACGAAAACATTTGTTCATTCAGTCAACGAATTTCAAGTCATTGCAGGCAAGCCAAGTCCTTACTCCATTGAGGTGGACAAATTAGTACTAGAATTGTATAGGAACATAAAAGATTTCTTAAAAAAAACCCTGGACTGATGCATCGGCAGGCTCTCTTAAGTCAAACTATGGGTCAAATATGCACTGAATCACTTCTGTGGTGCTTGACGAAGTTGAAGGTAAAACATATTTTTCAGGGATTGATTGATCAACGCCGAACGCTTTATTCGTTGTTTTTTATAAGCAAGTTTAAACAAAATTTACTAATTTTAAAACTTAACAAAATGAATGCATTTTTGACAACAATGTATTGAAAAGTTGTGAATTCTCGTAAGAGATTTCCTAAGAACATCATCGTCGTTGGAGGTTTTACCCTAGGCGCAATTGTAAAAGTGTTAGAAGAATGTTAGCCGCTTACTATAATCGTTAATAATAATAATAATAATACACGATGATAATAATACATAATTCGTTAATTCCTATTCAAGACTGCCGGAAGCGGTTTAACGGATCTTTCACATATCATATTGACCTTTTCTCGTTATTACTCTTGATTTTGTCCTAAAATTTTTTTTATATCCGTGATCACTTACATTCCCCATCTTCGTCAACATCAACTGTGGTCTCCGACAACTCCTCGGCTACCAGAAACTCTTTGAGACGTTTGTTTGAAACGACAACCTATTTGTAGAGCAATTTAATATGCTTCTTCTTCTATGGAAAAGGAAAAAAATCAATTTACCTGAACAGTCTGTGAGATAAGTTCAGCTGCCATAATAAGCGGTGCTCGCAATTGATTGAAAAGTGTTAGAGAAACGAAGGCAATTTGAGGAGTTAGGACATTACTGGATGACAGTAAAGTGTAGGTAGTAAACGTTACCAATGCAACCTGTAAACAACGGAAGCATTTTTCATTATTGAGTAATTTAGTTTTAGTTAAGAGCTATCTGACGAGAAAAGGTGTTGCAATGTTGAGGATGTCAGCCACAGTTCTAGCCACAGCAGCTTTGCGGAGAAGTGCTATTTCAATTGCTCGAATCTTTTCAATCACAGCTTCCATTGCCGGTTCCCAAGCGTATAGTTTCACTACCTAAACCCATTCACAATCATTAAATATAGTCGAATTTCTAATACCAAATACACTGATATTTGATGAAACAGCGGACAGTGCCCTTCTAGGTGAGGAAGACCTAGTGGGAAAAAATAGCAAGCGAGTTCCCAATACATTTACGCCGAAAAGTAGAATTCTCGGCGTTATTCTCAATATTAAACTACTTCTCTACATGTTTTCACTTCTATTTCCTGCCTAATATTTTTTTGTGGGGTGGGGATGGGGTTTACAGGATCACAAGGAAACAGACTTGAGTAGAATTCGGGAGCCCCTGTGGGCTTCGAACCCATGACTACTCTTACAGGGGTCTCACGTGCTATCCACCACACCCATTGAGGCACATCTTTGGGTGTGGTCGAATTTAGTTTACTGCCTTGGAAAAAGAATAGGCAGTAAATAAGGGCTGAATCACTGTGATTTAGAATGCAGCTTCAGCATGACGGCATACGGATGATTGGTTATAGTATTGGTACAGTAAAAACATAATTGATTACCTAAATACTTGAATGAGCCGTCCTCACTGGTTGGGCGGGCTCCAACATAATCTTTATCTTTTTAAGCCATTGTCATTTCTTGGAATCCCGAGATCAACCAGGGCAAAGTCTACCTCAGGTCTTTACCACCAGAGGCAGTCGCAGCCTTTGTGGATCAGAGGGAGATTTGCCACCATGCGACTTTGATACCAGGACGGTGGTGGATCCTCGTGTTGGTTTACTTTTAGCTGGGCTTCCTGATGAAAACTCTGGACTCCTTCTCAGCTTGGGACTGGGATAATCAACTTCCCGCTGTAGATCGCAGCCCGACACCCAGGAACACTTCCCACCCACGATGAGATGGTAAACCGTTGGAACGTGAGTAAAAACATGGCTGAGGGAAAGGCAACATGGAGTCGAAAGTTCTGCTCATATCTTTTCTTTCTTCTTGTTGTTTTGCTAGAATTTGTTAAATTTTTGCATGTATTTGAAGGATATCTTAATGCCCATTGAAATTTCGGTAGGCGGGATTTTGAAGTACACTACTACAAGAAAGATTTTATAAAAAAAAGTAAGAGGATAGCCATACCTTTATTCCTGACAGAACCTCGTTTATCTTACGAATGCGCTCATCTTTATAAATCATTTGCCGTGAGGTCCATTGCTTGGAGAGGAATGAAATACCTATATTGAGGGGTATGACGGAAATCTAAATGGGTCTTGGTTAGGGTGCGACCTAATGTGCCAAAGTAACTTATACCTACCATGACAAAGAACCCTGCGATTACAGCGTAGCCAATGGTTTGCCACAGTAGAAACATACAAACAATAACCTTAAAATTTTCATAGACAAGAAATCTTAGTTTATCTTTAATAAATCCGCAGCGAAGCTGATTTTTAAACAACCGACAACAATTTCTTCATTCATAGAGTAGTAGAGCTGATGAGAAGTTTGGAAAGCTATAGGACAGACTTCAGATTATCACGAGGGTATAAAATATAGAATAGGATAGAAACTTTATAAAATATTCTCTCAATTTTGTGTTCCTTCGCAACCGAAAAACCAACGATATCTTAGCAAGCGTCATCATATCATGCTACAAGAAATACCGTCCTGCTAAATTGCTTTTGTACTCCAAATACAATCCCTGACGCATGCAAAATTTGGATAAAAAAGTGTCAACTTTAATGATGCTGAGATATTTGCAAAACTCCAGACCACAGGTGTCTGAGGTGGGAACGAACGCGCTATTGTCTTTTCCGAGGAGTAACGCGTTCACCACCACACCATGCGGGTCCTTCGTTTCGCCTGTCTCTCAGCTAGTTCTATCGATCAGTACTATCAGCAACCACCTGTTAACAGGATTGATCCCAGAAGTCCAAATCGGCAACGAACCCAGTTAAGCTGAGTATGCAGACCCGGATGGTGTGGTGGTGAAGTGCGCTACTCCCCGGTAAGGGCCATAGCGCGTTCGTTCCCCACCGCATACACCTGCGGTCTGGAGTTTTTTGCAAATATCTCAGCACTATATAGGAGTTATATTTTGCAACATACCGTGCCATTAAAAAGAAAAAGGCAATAAATAAAAGGGTAAAGAATTATCAAACAATACCAACGTTAACAGAAAGTCGGTCTTGGCAAATTATGTCACTTTGTACTAGGTAGAAATGAAATAGAATTATCATGGCCTACCTGCAAGGGGCTGCTCCAATATTGCTGCAACTGGGGCGTAATCAAACGGAAACGATCCACGTCGATGGCCATTAAATTAACGATTTCACCGTGTGTCTTTTGCCTCCTGGACGAGTTCGAAAGCTTTAGAGTCTGAGTGGAAGTAACGATAACTGCTCGGCAGAAAACGCATCGTTCACAATTTCACCGTCGTTGTTTGAGTTTCATTTGACAACTAATTCCCAAGTTTTCATTGGGTGAAGGCGTTCAGTGTTTCCAGTTTTCCACTAGATATCTAACCTTGTTGTAGACTGCTGCAGTCAAGACGCTTTGAATCTTCGTTCCTACACGAGTCATCATCGTGTAATAATTGTTGAGCAGAAGAGAGCGAAGAATACCACAGACGAAAAGACCAACGGAATAGAAGATCCCTTCATATAATGGAGCGTTCCGGTCTTCGGTAAAGGAGATCAATAAACTAAATTCAAGAACATGTAAGGAAACATATGCAAATACAAACATAATTTAAGTAAATGTGTTAAGATTATATTTATCCAACACCCCTATCTTTAGAGACGGACGCTTAATTTCTCGTGGTAAGTGTCTGAAACAACACCTAAATTCTTGGTGTGCACCTGTGAGCAGAAATAATATGAACTTCTCATTAGAAAAACTGTTTCCTGATACTTTGGTGATACAAAAATCAACCAGCTGCGAGACGCGGAGCGATCTTGGTACTTCTTATATTTGTGATACTATCGCTATGTTGCCCCATCAGCAGCAGGTCCTGAGACTTAAAGAACAAAGTTGTCCGGAAAATAGGATTTTGGAAATTACTAAATATAGACAATAGCATTGGTGGCCGACTCTCACTACAACATATGCTGGATAACTTATCGATTAAAAATACAAAGGTGTAAAAAAAACTCCACAGTGCAAAATAAACGACTAGAAAGGGAATGATTTGATATCAATTCAGTCAGCCGATCTGAACCCTCCTCGATATAAACGGAAACCAACTGACATCGAGCTTATGACAAAAATCTTACACTTAAATAGCATCGCTCGGATGACGGCACCTCATTACCTTAGAAATCCCGGATTGGCGAATTGTATGAGATCGGAGAGAAGTTTGACGACACTTGCACCGATCAATTCCCACTTGAACAGTCTCCACAATACAGCGATAATAGAGGGAGGAACGACAACTAGAAATGTGCGTTAAACAAAACGATGCCAGGAAAAAAGTCTATTATATATCATATAATATCTAATATGCTCTGAAGGGTATTTTGACCTATTCGGTCAAATACATCCTCGAAGCAAATGTGAGATTCCAGCACATTTCTGACCACCATATTTCGGCACAAAAACGTTTTTTTGTAGCATGCGTGTATTTAGCTCACATGCAGTAAGAAAAGGCTCCCGATCTCAAGAACACAGAATTTTTCGCACCTTCTTCATCAGCATCTGGCACAGTTTTTGTAAAATAGGCAATAAATGGTGTTGATGCCGAAGAGATCATCGAATCCGTTTTAACTACACTTTTAGGAATTCTATATGGAAAATCTCAAATATGGGATGTGGTTTCCTTTCTTTTCATAAATATCTTTCAATGAGAACATAAGGTTTACAAAAAATCGTCCAGTTTCCTTTATATATACATGTATAAAATAAGAAAGGGATAAAGCTCTCTGCGTTGATCAATCCCAGAGAGATGCGCCATACATTCGACTTCATTAAGCACCGCTCGGAGGTGAATGAATGCCCATCTAGACTTCACAATGACTCACGGCGGCCTACCGATGTATCGAGCCAGTGTTCCTATCCTTCCAAACAAGTATGGTACCAGTTTACCGACCCCAAAAGGACGGAAGGCTTGGTGGGCCAGGGTCGCGGGATCGATCCAGTGTGTGTTGCAGGGCGCTTCCGAACACTGCGCCACACACGCCTTCATATGCATATACATATTTATTTTGTTTTATTTTATTTGATCCGTCTTCACATCCACTGTGCGAATCCCAGCACTTCTCACATTCAATTCCTTTCCTCACATCCGCTGTCCACGAAAATCTTCCAGCTTTACGTGTGGCTTCCTTTGCTGCTTGAGAATTTCCATTTCAACTTGAATGCAGTAGAATACTGGTCGAGTAATTCTCCCTAGAGTTCTTGGATAGCCAGGCTGGAGCGTTCCTAACTGGATTGTAGGGAGTGGTTTTTCCCAGACAAGTCTGGCACCGATTTTCCGACCCCGGGATGGGAGGCTTCGTTGGCCCGTAGCGGAATCGAACTAACACCATTCTCGTGATGACGGACATCACTACCACTGTGCTATCCGCCCCTATATACATATGCGTAAACATACAAATACGTATACGCCTATACACATATATATATATACATATTCATCCATATATATATATATATATATATATATATATATATATATGAAGTGTAAACTTACGATCATGATTTCCAGCTAACAGTCTATCATCAACAGAATAGTAGGTGGCCGATTAACTCCACTAAATAAGAGAAAGAGGAAAATGTCTCAACTTCCGAGTTTAAGTGTAAAAACGGAAAAATATTTGAATGAATAAGCTGCAAGACAATAGGTTTTATAAGGACTCTTAAGACTACTATATTTTAATTGGGCCCATATATGAACGATGTGTAATAGTCAATTAATGTAGAATTTAATACAAGAAAGTAAAAAGAACATTGATCACCTCCAGTCAGTTGATCTCCTGACGAAGTAGTCCCATAGCTTTTGCCGTTACCAATGAATAAAGGTGACTTTTCCGTACTATAATGTTTCTTAATAGACAACTCCGCAGCACTTTTCCATATTTCATAATCTGAAACTGCTAGTGCAAATTTGAACAAGAAAGAGCGGAGGATGTTCCCGGTCTTACCCGTAACACGGAATTGTGTAGTGTGGTTTCCTCAGTGGAATACAAGCAATAAGATCTTGGGAATACGAGCAGTTTTTCGCCAAGTGCGACTTTCCGGTTTTGCAAAAACTTCCAATAAGTGCAGTAGTGTAGAGGTTCTCAATCTAACAGGATTTCAGAAGAGACTGCTCTCTCGTTATACGGGTATAAATGGTATGCATTCTACCGCTTACTTTGTGTTACTGTGGTCCATTGTGCAAACGTATTGCTGTCAGAATTTTGTAGAAATTTGCACCCACTTTGATTCCATTTCGCTGTTAATCCTATCCGAACATTTTGTACAATGATCATAAAAATAAAAAAGGGTGAAGCTCTCAGAGTTGATCAATTCCTGAGGGATGCTTCATCAAACATCGTTGGAGTGGTCAAATGCATATCTCGCCTTTAAAATGACTCGCACTGGCCTGCCGATGTATCGAGCCAGTGCTAACATCCTCCCAGACAAGTCTGGTACCAATTCGCCAGTCCCGGAGGGACGCAAAGCTTGGTAGGCCATGGGCGCGGGAGTCGATCCCATGTGTATTACAAGGCGTTTGCATTGCATTGCAAGGCGCCTCCGACCACTACGCCACACGCGCTCCTACAGTGACCATAGTGCTTCAAACTAAATGACAGTTACAACCACAACAATAGCGCGTTCGTTCCCCACCATAAACACCTGCGGTCCAGAGCTTTGCAAATATCTCAGCAACGTTGTGGTTGTATTTCACTTAGTACCCTGCCGCGAAATTATAGTAGGCAGAAAATAAAAAGGTATAACATTGTAAATGACAGTTAATTGTTGCTCAAACAATCGACCAATGAATTTTTTCCAAAGATGGTTTTTGTAAATCATTAACTGCAGAGAATGGCTTTTATGGCTTCAGTCTACCATTTCTACCTGCCTTCGATTAGCTATCGAATGAACATACAGGCAATACACACAGTTCGTCGAAGAAAAAACTCTGGAACCCACTAAACCACAGTGTGAAGGCTGTAGCGTCCATAAGGTCGTTTGGTCCAAACCGCTATAACAATACAGCGCCCACACGGGGCAAAGGTTAAACAGCTACGGGTTGAACAAAGGTCAATGACAGTGAGTGATGGTGACATGAAAACTTACTAGTCCGGCTATACCAGAATTCTAGAGTACGCAGTGCCTAAGCGACAGCAATTTAACGAAAATTATATTGTCCACATCCTCCACTATCCGTTAAACTAGCCATCGAAATGTTTAAGCATGTGTCGCTGTTCTCTTACCTCTAATTGATTTATTCCACTCAGTGTCCCACAGAGTTATAAGATTATTGGCCTTTAAGGTATCATCCAACTCGAAGAGATCGTCAGCCTCAAACAAATTGTGAAACGACTGAATTGTTAAAGCAGGAATCCTCACCTCTAGTGACTTTTTCGAAGCCTTCGAGATCAGAGTGCTGAACCACCAAAGAATTTGCCTATTTGGAAAGGAGGCAGAAGTTTCTGGGTGAGTTTTCGTGTACTCAAAATGCTAAACAGGATTGTAAAAGTTTATACCAGATCTATTACACGCGTAAGTGAGAAAAGAAAAGGAATTGAAAACGGTGCTATAAACATTGCGAATAACTATTAAAAACATTCTGCTACAAAAGAAAAATCAGACATTCGTATGAAAACGTAGAGAGTTTATTAAAATCGCATATTGCCGATGGCGAAATTGGTTGTCGAGTACTTAGTCGGCGAAAAGTGTTACCAATTTCAATGATGATTGACGTTGAAGAAATAATAGATGAGATTCGTACAGAATAGGGGCGGATCTATCTACCGGCAGTCGGGTTATCTCAGGTCTCCAGGGAGAATTGCTCGACCAGCATTCTACGACATTCAAGATGAAATGAAAATCTTCAAGCAGCAACCGAGGCCACATATGAACACTTGAAAGACCTTCGTTGATTCGATGGATGCGAGGAAACGAATTGGATGCGTGAAGTGCTGGAATCCGCACAGTAAACGTGAAGGCGGATCAAGTTTAAAAAAAGCATAATGAACGAAATTAGCACGAAAGAAAAAAGAACGAACGAGGCACCAAACGTCAAATCCTCTAGATGACTAATTTTTTGCACTGAACCCTAAAAAAATATATTGACTTGATAAAGGAAAACGAGCATGGAAAATAAGCCGAAGTAACACGCAATGTGTTAAATGAGAACAGTAATAACAATTTGCAAACAGTTTGGAACTCAACGATGTTTAAAGGATTTTAAGGATTTTGAAAATTTGCCAGAGCACAAATGAGACTCACGTTTTTGTCACAAAGTGGAGACGGATCGGAAAAGCAGTTGAGTAACAGTTGCAGAAGCAACAGCGGATAAAAGGCCAGGTAGCATACGTATTGAATAAAATCGACCTCTCCAACCAACTAGAATCGAGTACTTTGCGGTTTGAAGCGAAAGGCTACTATGTTAGTCGGGAAATCGTCCCAAAAGCGAAAATTTATAAATTTTTAAAAAAATTTTTTAATTGCCTTGACGTTGAATGTGTTGTTAAGAGGAGAGCTGAAGAGTCACATTTCTCTACGAAAGGTAGTTTACTTCTTCTTTGTGGGGACAGAGC